ATCCAAACTCTTATGCATGTGCTACCAACTTAAAAAATTGTTGATGAGTGGAGAAAATAAAGTTTGAAAGCAACTCCAAACTCATCATGCTCCTTAATAATAATATTGAGTAACACAAAAGAAAATTAATTTTTTATCTCAGGTAATTTTTGTTTTCCCTTTGTTTCCATTATAAGCACATATTAACATACCAAAAAACAAAAGAAAAACAAAAATTACCTGAGATAAAAATTAACTTTGAAAACATTTTCAAATGAGATAAACCATGAAAAATTAAACACCAGCCTGATGAGCTAATTTAATTAGGATGTCCTGATGGGTGGTAGTATTTTCTTAGCTTATACCATTCAAAAGGACAAGACAATTTTCAAGAATAAAAATCACTCCTGTTCAGTTATCCTTGGATTTCACATGTCAAACCAGAAAAAGGGTTTTGCACTTCCCCATCACTGTTATACCTGAGTACTCCCTATAGAGTACCCCCCTGAGTGGACATTCTTAGGTGATTCGAAGTAAACTTAGAAAGTATTGTAAAATTTTGTAAATTTTTTTAGCCATTTCTTAATCATTCTTAAATTTTGCATTGTAGTATGTTTACTTTACATTTTATGAAGGGAGCGTCCTAGATGGGGATAACCTCTGACGTTTCCTTTTATGTATCCTTACATAAGAAATATTTGATTTTGAAATTACAACAACAAGGAATGAATAAAACTATCTTTGTTCAGCTGTCCCCAGCTGGTAGGAAAAAACCATCAGAAAGCAAGGTATGTATTACAGTGTAACAATAACAAGCTGCATGTCATGTAGTAATACAATATACAACCAACTGCTGACATCGTTTAGGATGTCCTGCTAAGCGGTACTATTTCCTTAGATAATGCAGGCCAAAAGGACAAGGTATTTTGTTATGGAAAAAAAAACCATTCCTGTTTAGTTACCCTGGCCTTTTAGAAACCTAAAGAAGCACCGTTTAACAGTAAAAATCCCAGATATCATATACCGCCTAACAATTGTTGCTAAAACTCAGGATGTCCCGTTGGACGGTACTATTTTCTTCGATAATACCGGCCAAATATACAGGGTATACAGTATTACTAGGGTATTCATGGGTACACAGGATATATAGGGGTATACAATATTGCACTAATATATTAGGGAGTCTATATGGAGACTGCCATGAATTACTTGCCCACAACCGAGAAACAATGGACTGCAGAGGAATTCTGGGAGATTCAAAATGGCGACTGGCTGTTACGTTTTCCTTTTGAAGATCTCCTTTAACTGGAAATTTCCGAGATTATAATGGAAACTTTTACACTTGGTACTACCATCGGTTTAAACATGAACGCTTCTTTTTATGCTGACAGCGTAAACGCTGCCGTGTGGAACAAGGCGAGGCTGTTTTTTTGAGTTGGTTGTGTTTTTGCTGGTAATGTATTCATGCACATTCATGAAATCAACCCGACTAAAAAGTTTTCAAAGAGACCGTGGAATTTATGGAAAGCGAGTAAGGTTCACGAGCAAAGCAAGGATTGGCAATATTGGAGTGTTTTCTTTGATTGAGACAGGAAAGGAGCAATATATGGCGAGAAAGGCCAATTTTAAGCTTGTATCCGAATGCAATTGGAAAAACACTTTCTTTAATTTGCGAAACGTACTTGCATGACTGTATGAGGACAAACATTGGCAGAGCACTTGCCACGACATACACTGGGGATCGTCATTTCCATAATTTGCAATATTGATAAGTGATTTAATATTAACTGCTGTAATGTTTGTTGTCAAATTATGAAGACAAACACTTAAATATAAGCTTTCAGTTTTTTTTACAAACCTGCTCTCTACTTTACAGAGGTGCATTGGAATAATATACTATACCTGCCGACTTTTTCTGAGATATAAGCGTGAGTTTTTCATCCTGGGAGTGCTGGGATTTTTGAAGACGACACGATCATTTCCGAACATTCCCGAAGAATTCTAGAGTCTTCCGAAGAAGTCCGAAGTCTTCCAAAGACTTCTGAAGTCTGCCGAAGTCTGCCAAAGGCGAGCTCGCTCCCAGTGCTTTTCACTTCAAAAATCAGAGATCGTGAGGAAGGTATTGTCATTTATTCATTTTACACATGGTTTTCGTTCCTTACATGGGTCTGAGTTAACATATTTTTGGAAATTGTGTCAAGTATCTGCCGTTGTTGAGTGTAAAAAGTTAGTCCGCACTCTTTAACCGGGCGTTCGCACTGCCGGCGTGAGATCGAAGTTTTCAACCCGCAGGCGTGAGACTCACGCCTAAGGCGTGAGAGTTGGCAGGTATAATATACTCAGGCACATGCAATATGTTATCTTTTATGTGACATTGCATCATTAACTTTTGCATGAATCTTAAATTTTTTGAAACTGAAGTTTGATGATTACTTTTATACCATTACATCACCCTTGGTAAACAAAATTGCTTGCCTTTCAGTCATTTCAGGGGGATTTATTTTTTGGGAAAAGAAATGCAGGAACCATTTTTTTATCCCTTATATTGTAAAATATTACATTTAAAGGCTAAGAGAAACTTTACCCTTTTGGTTGCTTCTAGTTCAGATTTTGTCTCTACTATAGTAATACTAAACCAACACCTTGATATTAGCGTGTGCCACAGATGGAACTAAACTCTGGGTTAAGTCCGTCTGCAGTGCTGCTTCGCAGACCTTACTAACCAGTGTTAGATAACATCTGCGACGCAGGCTACCTTGATATTTAATGTTCAAAATATAAGGTAGAATCACTATTTTAGTATAAAAAGTGTTGAGATTGTTGGAATTTTGGGTGTTTAATAGATGTCTCACAGACCGACTGTCTCCATAGACAGGTGGTGCTATCAGTAGACGTCAATTTTGTATACACTGGCATTTAATTCACCTAATAGGTTATCTTAAGTTACCTAAAGGCGCATAACAATTTGAGCAAATTTTCCTAAAGTTGCCTAAAGTTGCGGCGACTTAAGGTCCCAGAGTAGGCCTATATTTATATTTTTGTCCAGTCTGTTCAGTCAAACAGCCGGGAATTATGACTTACCAGGGTGACTGATTTGTCCTGTAAATGCTTGAATATTAATATTTTCCGGTTGAAACAAAGAAGCCACAAACATTTGTGCGGTTTTCAATAACTTTTCAAATAAATTATGTTGACGTAACTTCCTTTGTCACAATTGTTGAAATGGTGGCGCGAGTCGCACTTTAAAATAGCCGTGAGGAGTAATTTCCCCACTACTGCTAGAGTGTCAGTTGATGGATCAGTAAACTAGGAGTCCTAGGCAAGCTGTTAGAGCATTAAAAAACTACTATATTCCAAATTGCAAGGTTCACAGCAAAAAGTAATCTTTTCTGCCGGACTAAGATTAAATACCGGTTTACCCTGAGAATGGATTTTACTTACGAAACATACGTACAGCTGATCCCTAAAGGATATAATAATTTTATAGTGTCACTCCAGTTATCCATTAGCTAAGGAGGAGGGGGTGAGGGTGGCCCTTGAAGGACTTTGTCACTCTAAAATTTCAACCTGAAGAGATTTTTGGCTGTCACAAATGGATATCAACCATTGGTCAAGTGTACTTGACTAAGGGCAGTATGCGTCTTAAGAGTAGCCCGAATTGTAATATGTTTATAAATGCATCTAGCATCATTGAAAATCGAGCAAGAATGGTCAAATACAAATGTTAACTGCACAAACACGAATGGCAAAAGCACTGTGGGAAATGAAGCCCAATCTTTAAGCAGAAATTCCCTTGTCCTTGCACATTAAATTGCCAGATCTACCTCAAATTTGTAGTATAAACAAATAAAAAGGTGAATCCATCTTACCAAGTAAACTGACAGTACCTGTAACTGGAAAGGATTTTTTTACTGTTATCATTTACTGCTGTTAAATGGGATAAGGAAACGGCCA